CATCTGTCTTTCTTTCGTTCTTTTTTCTTCAAGTAAATAAACGGCCTTTTGGCTAAGATCAAAGTGTAGTATCTTTTCTTATCATCTTAATCTGATTCTTTCTCAACTTCCCTTCTTTCCTTTTTCTTTCTTTTATTTTTTCACTGAAACCAAGTAGTGCCTTTTCCCCTCTTTCCATACGATCAAAACGGAATAGTTAATTATGCATGATGTATTGGCAGGGCGTAATGATCGTGCGAGCTAACGAAGGAATGGGCAGGTAGAATTATAATAGGATATTTAGATATACACATGATATCTGCGCAACCAATGTAAACAAAATAACATCGAATTTAAGAATCGAAACTTAACTCTGCATTAACTCACTTTCCACATTTTTGAGGAAGCTTGATATATGTCGAAGCGTGTTTAATTTATAAATATTTTCCTACTGGTTCCTTATGGTTTGCAATTGTTAATCGGAGAGCCGTGCTCCAATTCCAGTTGGGTTCGTTGTATTCACTTATGCACAAATACCACTTCTCCTTCCCCAGCTCTGTGTTAATTAGTAAAACTTGCACCATTAAAACTATTATTATCTACCCCCCACACCACCACCAAAAAGATATTTTTATAATCTCGAAACGTTTTCTGTCTTTAAATAACCTGCAAAGCGTTGATACGCCGTAGAAAACGAATCAGTCAATCAATTCTGAATGCATTTAACTAAATTGTTAGCCATTTTCAAGGATTATACATATATATATTTGTGTGTGTGTGTGTGTGTGTAATCCTTGAATAAATAAATAAATATATATATATATATATATATATATATATATATATATATATATATATATATATAGTAGAGCCCGACGTTGCCCGGGGATATAACAGTAAGAGATAGATCAAGTATCCACCATCATAAAGACTGAAAAATAAAATTGACAAAGATTATTGTTTAAGGTTGACGGACACGCATGTCTTAATTAGTTTTTTTTTTTTTTACGAATTGGTCAAACCCAAACTCAAACAAAAACATTGTTTTCAATCGTTATGAGTCTCTACCGATTGAATAGAATTTTATTATAAACAATTGTCTTGTAAATGGAATTTTAAAGCATTCTGAATGTTAAAAATAAAAGAAAAAAGTGTGTAAGAGAATAAGAAACACTACCTGCCAAAAAAAAGAAGTGAAGTTTTGTTTTATCGGTTGAAAATATAGGAAATCCGCTCCCATATTTAAAGGAACCCACACACAAACAACCCGATGTGAGTTGTCCCCCTTCCATTTTCACGATGTCTCTTAATCGTGTTTTTCAAATTGATTTTGTGCAAAAACAATTATATTTTTCACATTTTTGGCTCTGTTAGAACCACCACAAGGTAATTTTATGTAGTCCTGTGAAGTTTTGTTGAAATCGGTTGAAAAATGTAGGAAATCCGATCCAATATATAAACGTTACACACACACACACACACACACACACACAATCTGCGTTTTATAATAAGTAATATATATATATATATATATATATATATATATATATATATATATATATATATATACGGGTATATCAAAAATTGGGGGCGAGTTCCTCACACCAAAACAAGGACAAAAGTCCATATAAACATGTCATCAAATCCTTTGTTTTTAAGTCATTAAGCTCAAAGAAAGTTTACCGTAGATGGCGCCGTGTTGCAATGTAGATTAGGTTGCATTTGTCATTCGTGTATATTCGTGGCTTGTCTGTCTTCAACCTTTAAGTTGTGTTGTAGTGAATTAATTGAGAAGTACTGTTTAACAATAACAGGATATTCATATCGTGAGCAGGCAGATACGATTTTTACATACGGCTGCGCGATGTTAATGGCTGTATGAGATTGCGTTTCCAAGCCGGAGATAGCCGAGTCATCCAACCTTTGCAACTGTTTATCATCTCGTTGCTGAGACAGGATCTGTAGCATCACAAACTATGGACCGAGGAAGACCGAGGTTTATGCGGCAGACATTACTAATGCAGAGACGCTAATGGGCGCACGCGAAATCATTCGATACCGTATGGGGAGTATTTGAAAGGGTCCGCCAGTCAATGATCCGACAGGTGCATGCGTGTGTAGAAGCAAGCTAAGAACATTTCGAACATTTCTTATGAGTTGCTATGTTGAGTTACAACAATGGCTTTTGGATATATATATATATATATATATATATATATATATATATATATATATATATATATATATATATATATATATATATTATGAAATGGACAAAGTCTGACAGTTATTTTCAGACATTTTTATGTTTATACATTCTTTTTATAGATAAAAATATGTAAGTAAATGCTCTGTTTATAATAAACAGTATTAAACAACATTTACCGGCCTGAATGTCCGAGAAATTTTCACAGAAAATATTCGTCCTCCGACGGGATTTGAACCTGTATCCTATACGGAACCGTCATTTAGCTTGACGTGCTTTTAACCGATTTGGCCACAGAGGAGCGTTCGTTTAGCAAGGTCGAATTTATACGCCATGCGCAGATATGAATGTACGTGAGAGATTCATAGAAGATTGAAGTTCAAATACAGTAAATTAAACCTTGCTAACCGAAATCAGACCTTGCTAGTAGAAATCAGACAGTAGGTAGTCCAAAGGAACCTTCAGAAATTAATGAAAAAAAAATATTATATAAAATAATAAGAGATAAATCTCAAAATATGAAAGAGACATAATTCAGAATTAAAGAGTATTAAATTAATATGTCAGAAAAGAATATTAAGGAAAATATAAAAAATTTAATATAAAGGTGGGGACATAAATATCTTAGGATGAATACATCCAAATCAACATATATCAAATTAAATTTATGTTAATTAATACCCATTCACAAGGAAAAAAAATATATTTGAAATTTAATATGTAATATAATATAAAAAAAAATTAAAATTGGGGGAAAAAAAGAATGAAAAGTACCTTAAGAATAAGGGAATTACAATTTTTATAAATATAAAATATTAAAAAAAACACCTTAACTGAAATTAAAATATATTTTAAAATATACTTTAAAATATATTTTAATTTTGAATATTTTAATTTCAGTTAAGGTTTGTTTCTTTTTGTAATATTTTATGTTCATAAAAACTTTTTGTTACTATTATTTAATTAATAAATTAATATATTTATATATCATTTATTTATACAGAATTATCATAACATAAAATAACATTAAGTATTGGATGCCTTCTTTTTGTGCACTTAGTTTAATTATTTTCTAGGTAATTGTATTTATTTACTATTACGCCATGTGACACAATTTTCCAGCCATACAGATTAAGTTTTACAATGACACACCCACATAGCCCTTCACTATCAAGTAGCTGACAAATATTCGAGATATTTGTTCATAAACAAAATTCTAATGTAGTGTAGTGAATGGCATAAATATATGTTGTGTTATGTATATTTATTTTTATTTAATAATGTTGTTGTAATGTATTAAGAATGTTTATCATTATTAACACACATAATACATGGAATATAATATGCAAGTGTTTGTTTATATGCACGGATTGATAAAAAATGTGTATTGAAAACAAATACTGCATTTCCCATTAAAAATGCCGTAAAAACAAAAATAAACGACCCTAGCTCAATAACCCCTTATCTAATTTTAATGAAATATGGCACGACACTCGACAGGAATTAGTAGTAGAATATGCTTCTAAATTGTTTAGGGTATTTGTTATGGGAACTTACTCATAATAATAATGGACTATTCCTAACATTATAAATACTGCGCCTCTCAAGAGGTATGAGCATATATTGTAAGACGAGGAGAGATAATTGAGAGCATATTGTAAGGACATTGGAATAGTGATACTTGTCGAGACAACATAGTTCATTCTAACCAAATCTGATAGTCATTACTAATACTTCTACTTCTTTGTATTATATTTCTGTTGTAATATATCTTTGTATTCCATACCTGTGTTCGTGTTATTCTTTCATTGGTTCTAACCTTGGACCATCACCGTGGTACAAGGAACTTGGACCATAACAGTATTATTATTATTTAAGCTGTATCTCGGGAACACACATACATACATGCATACAAGATTGTAGTTTTAGTATTATATAGATTTTCAATATAATGGACAATTATTCCAATTTTGATCATCACTTTTTAAAACAATAAATATTGCTGAAGAGTGAAGATAGTTTTAAAAAAAAAAAATTTTTCATGGAAAGACCGTCCTTTTGACACTCCGTCTGATTGCGGACATGTTTATTCATGATTACCGAACAATCTTTGAGTTGCTTATTAAGATATCATACTATCAAAAACATTATTAGAAATATTTAATATAAAGAACATAATTATCGGCTGAAATTTACAGCGTATATGTTGTGGTAGGATCCACCTAATTTGCATAGAGGAGTACCGACCATATAAATATGGTTGGTACCGGGAAGAGAGGGAGGAATCAAGAGATTCAACCAGAGACTCTGCCCGAAAGCGACTCAGTCAACACATTCTCCAGGAACGGTCTTACCAGGAATATACAAAAGACTATATGTAAATATTGTGTACACTTTCTTGTTTCAATACATTTTGTTCTAAGTACATTTTGTGTTGCATTATTATTCCATGCATTAGTCAAGTTTCAACAGTATATTTATATAAATATAAGTATAACCAGAAAATTTGACCAACATCGGTTTGTTAATGACACTTTTATTTTGTATGTTCTTGACCGGCATAATAAAATCTAAATGATAAAATCTTATTGAATATAACGAACACGACTGAAATTCGAACCCGGCTCTCCGATTTCTAATTCCGAGCTGTTATCCATTACAAGATAGTATGTATGTATTTATATTCCTGTGTGTTTTACGGTTCAGTCATATATGTCCATCGCATTTATTTATTAATAGTCTTTTTTGAGCGTTTTTGCTTGTGAATCGAGTGATCAGCTTCCTGTTTAAGACTGTTATTATTAGAAATCTCTGTATGCGCGGCGTCTGTCTCAATGGCGTCGGTAACCTTTCACTTTTGGAAAACTACAAACGTGCCGGCACAATGGAGTCCTGTTCCACAAGAATTCATGTCGGATCATTAGCGCTCTGTTGGTGAAAGGTGTTAGTCAAAAAAATTATTCCGGAACAATGTTTAAATAGATGATAAAGTCAAAGAAAAAAAAAAAATTCCTCGCGTGCTTCACATTGGTCCATTACTGCTCTCCCTCTCTTTTAACTACACACAAACACACAAATATATATATATATATATATATATATATATATATATATATATATATATATATATATATATATATTCATAAATGCACAAATGACCTTGCGCATGTACAGGAAGAAAAGAAAAATGTCATATAAAATTTAATACACACGCGCAAGATTGTGTATGTGCAAAATCTCAGACATAAATAAAATATACCTGTAAAAACATTCTTTAAAAATATTTTAGAGCGTTCTTAAATTTTTCAAAATTGAAAACTTAGCGATATTTTTACTTGTTTATAAATACATATTGTAAAAATAAAATCCTTAGATTTACTTGAATAAATTCCTCCCAAAAAAATGGACCGGTAAAAATTTTTTCCATTCAGCTTTATTCACACACACACACACACACACACACACACACATATATATATATATATATATATATATATATATATATATATATGCTCCTGAAAATTATTTCAGTTGAGCTCTCTGTGGAGAAAGTGTGAGTTCGTAAACAGTGACTATTACTGCTACTAATAAAATACTCTTCGATAAAACGAATCGAGATCTCTTAGCCTGTTTATCTAAAAGTAAATACGCTTAAATTCACCTTCATCCCTGCCCTGCGCCAACGGTTTAGGGGTGGATTCTCCGACTGACGCCAATTCAGCAGAGTTTCGATCCTAGCTAGAGTCAACCGGACGTCTAGCCACACTGAATAGCTGTGATACAGCAAAACAGTCTGTCTGTGGATGACTTTATATATATATATATATATATATATATATATATATATATATATATATATATATATAAAATTGAATAATATAGACATATTGTCTCTGCTTATTTTTGTACTAATGCTTTCCAGTTGTCTAATCAGTTTCTTGATGTGAAGATGAAATTCATCAAGGAAGGTGCCGTAGCTTTTGTTAACTCAAGTACTTTCGACCTTTTCTAAGCTCATCTTCTTTTTTTTTTTAATTACCATCACAACGGAATGCCTGATTTTATCGCAGTAACAATAAGTTTGTCTTTGCATTTCCCCACTGAAGATGATCTTGGAAAAGATCGAAAGTACTTGGGTTAAGAAAAACTACCGCGCCTTCCTTGAATAATTTCATCTTAACATCAGGAAACTGATTTATCAACTGGAAAGGATCAGTATAAAAATAAGTAGACGCAATAATTTCAGTACAATTTTCATGTTAAGGAGAGAACAATTCAGTAACATGAGGATTCTTTTTATCCACAATCGCCGAAAACTTTATAACAAATAAAAATGAAGGAATTAGTTAAATAACATGTTTTTTATCATTGTTAATACCGTCAATTAAGTTCTTAACAAAGAAAATGTTTTAGGCGGTTGCTGTAGAGCAATAACTAGGCAAAACCTTTAGAAGATTGGAAAAGATCAATTCAGTATGATGAGAATTCTAACATATACATTAGTCAAACTACTACAATCGTTTCACGTCGACTAATATGTCATTTATAAAAGCTTAGCCTAATATTAATATACAAATCAGTCAGATGAAAAAGATACTTGGAGACAATACAAATATATACAATATAAATAGCAAAAAAGCGACTGCAAATACTTGAAGCTATAGTCATAAAAAAAAAAACAGAATATAAACACATGAGATAATTTTTAACCGCGGAATTGACGTATTAAATATTCAACAATAAATATACAGGCTCTATCTTATTACAAAAGGCTTCCGATATGTAGCTAGCGGTTTGTATTTATACGGTTAAATAAAATTTCTAAGCATAAAATACCATGATGGGGGAAAATGAGACAGTTTATTTATTTTAATTTTAAAACTGCAAGGTAATTGCAGGGACAATTTCTTTGTACACAATGTGAAACAAATAATTTGTCCTCCATCGTATTTGCTTTTTCATGTTGATTCGCAGTTTTGAGATGGACCAATGGTAATAGGGTTTTATGTGACTTTCGTTCTCTTTTAGTCTTTCGCTTTGCTTCCCCCCCTCTCTCTCTCTCTCTTCTTCCTCTCACTCTCTGTTATCACTGTTTTTCTTTTTTCTGTCTTTCCTTGTTTGTCTTTTTTCTCTTTATCCCTCTTGCTTGTTCTTTTTCTTTCTTTCTCTTTCTCTCTCTCTCCCTGCCTGTCTGTCTCTCTTTCTCTCTCTCTCTCTCTCTCTCTCTCTCTCTTGCTCACTGTTTTCCCGCTCTCCCTTTTCTTGTTTGTCCTTTTTCTTTTTATCCCTCTAGTTTGCCCTTTTTCTCTTTCTCTCTCTTTCTTTCTCATTCTCTCTTTTCAGCGAGCTCTTTCTCACTCTCTCTATTTCTCTGTGTTCCTTTTGTTTAACTTCATATCTAAACCTTCTTTTTCAACATCATTTCTCGATCCTGTTTTTCATTCACTCCATTCTTCTTCTTCTCTACAAATACTTTTTCCCTCATACACATAAAATACCAAATGAAACAAAATAGCAGCAAAGTTCAAAGCAAAATCTCGTTCAGACGAGACCTCTATGACATTCGTTGCAGGCATGCCTTTCTATTTCCGGTTACTGATGATTGTGCGTGACGTTGTCTTTGACGTCAGCAGAGTCAACTGCAAGATTGGGATAGGCGTATTGACAAAGATGGCGATGCGAAATTTAGCCGGTTTTTAAATGTGGAAATTAAAAAGAACAGTTGGAATATCACATCGCTTTACATGCACACACACACACACATACATATACACACACACAAACACACCGCCATCACTACCCCACTTATATAAATGTTGCTATTTAAGTGATTATATACAAAGTGCGGGTAGTTTCATTAATATATTTGCTTGTCTTTCAAAACATGTCTGTGTATTCAGTGGTTCATGTAAGTACATAGGTAAAATACTTAAAATAATTATTGTATCGTTACGTCGATATCTCTGTCTCTGATTCCTCTCTGTTTTCTCTCTCTCTCTCTCTCTATATATATATATATATATATATATATATAAAAGGGAAACTTAACTTAGCCGACGCGTTTTGTTCCCTGAGACGTCAGTTAAGTTTACTTTGTCTTATTTCATATTGTCCTTTTACATATATATCTGAAATTTTTACACACACACACACACACACACACACACAACACACACACACACACATACATATATATATATATATATATATATATATATATATATATATATATATATGTAATGAAATGGATTAAGTCCGATAAAAATAAAATATACTAGCAGCATGGCCTGGCGTTGCCTGTGCTTGATTCAAAAATCGTACGACTCATACAGCAATCGCTATCCTTGACTTAAAATATTTTTTTGCCCTTCCTTGCCTTTTAAAGGAGTGCTTTTTTGCCGTGCTGATGTTGCTACATGCCTTTACTTCTTGCCTATCTCACACTGCGAATTTTTTCTAAGCTCTATGCTAAACATTAAATCTGTTACGAAAAAAGAACTAAACAAAATGAACACAAAACGATCAGCTTTAAAAAAGGACTCGTAACTGGAAAAACCGAATGAAAAATAATGTTAACAACAAATACTTTTTCACACCCAAACCAGTTCTGCGGAATCAGAATCAATGTTGAGTTTAAGCAAGCGAATGAGCTAATTGGAGTAAAGTGCCATGCAAATTTAAATTTTTCCACTTGTGACGAATGCAGCTATCGATTTTTTTTTTTTTTGCATGCTAGTTAACATTCGTGTCAATCAGCTGTTGGCTCTCACGCTGGACAATAGAATCTTCCTGCCTATTCGTGGCAGCTAGCTATAGGCTCTCATTCTGGCCAGTAGAAAGTGACCGCAATCTACATAAAAACTGCCGTAGAAGTATGAAAAAATCGATTATTTCCACTATCGATGGGAGTTGGGAAATGCAACGTCGGTCTTGGCCTTCCCACTAATTTGGAGCATGTGCATGTAAATTTTGGTGCAAATCCGTCGAAATTGCGGCCGCGCATTCGTTACACACACACACATCCTGCCTTTTATAGATAGAGATTTTGTTTATACGTTGTTTTTATAGATACAATTTATTTAAGTAAATGCTCTGTTTTTTAACAGAACAATATTAATTACATTTACCAGTTTGAATGTCCGAGAAATTTTGTAGAAAATATGCGTACTCCGACAGGAATCGTACCTGTATTTTTATACGGAAACATTAAATTTGTCTGACGTGTTATACCATTAAGTTATAGAAAAGCATCTGGTTAGCAAAACAGTGATTCGGACTTTGCTAAGCAGGCGCTTCTCTATAGCATATGAGATCAAATGACGATTCTGTATAGGAATACAAGTTCGATTCCTGTTGAAGAACGCAAATTTTCTACGAAATTTCTTGAACAATCAGGCGGATAAATGTAATTAATACTGTTTAATTAAAAAGCAAAATATTTTCTTAATTAAATTGTATCTATAAAAATAACGTATAAACAGAATATATATATATATATATATGCGCAAATATGAAATATGCTCAAACGAGGTACGAAACTCTGGAATCGTGTTGATGAATATAACATCAATCATCTAAGAGACAAATTTCATATTTGTATTAATCCTATATGTATATATAGTTACTTCGGAAGTCTACATGGATGGCATGTATGCAATTAGATCAAAATTGAACAATTACTTACGGAATTCCCTCCTTGTCTGAGAAGGATTATGCGTAATTTGAAAAAGTCGATCAATAAAATTAATCAACACAAAATGTCTACTGTCCATAATAACATTTGCTTTAAAGAACATTTGCTGCCGAAATACCCTTTACACACACACACACACACACACACACACACACACACACACACACACACACACACACACACATATATATATATATATATATATAGTCTTAAGATGTGCTATATTTATGGGATAAAGTGATCAATATCAGAGATAGAGCGTGTGTAAATATAAAATTGAACATAGAAGTCAACACTTAGAGGCGACAGTCTGTTTCATGCTATATATATATATATATATATATAGAGAGAGAGAGAGAGAGAGAGAGAGCTTTCGCTTAAAATTCCCAGCATCCCTCGTTCGTGCACATCTGTAGTCGCACCAACGTAACGAATTTAGTCCGATACAGTCTTAAAGAACGAAACACGTCAGACGAAAACATATTTTCCAATTTCCCCCACACCTCAAATTATATATATATATATATATATATATATATATATAAAAGTGAACAATGAAGTCAACACTTAGAAGCGACAGTCTGTTTCATGGTAGATGCAATCGTCAGGCGATCAGGTGGCCTGACGATTGCATTTAGCATGAAACAGACTGTCGCCTAAGTGTTGACTTCATTGTTCACTTTTATATTTACACACGCTCTATCTCTGATATTGAGCACTTTAGCCCATAAATATAGCACACCTTAAGACTATATTTCTTCATATATATATATATATATATATATATATATATATATATATATATATACTCTCGACTCTCCCGTCGAATTCGACGTATGAGGGTCAAGCAGATGAGTTCCTCGGAACCGACAGCCCGACACCAGCACATGAGATTTGATAATAGTGGTGAAGGTTTTGTGCAGAACCATCCACACTTTTTGAGGAGCTGAATACAGAGACCTGGTGTACTCCGCAGGTTTTGAATTAAGAGTTGTCCTTCTCCTAGTCCAGTTGCCATCCAAGTCTGTCCTGGTATTTACCCATAGCTGGAGGGAGAAAAAGAGAATTCATACTATTCCCAAGGGTATTAGCAAGTAAGTGAATGTAATGGATTCAACTCGAATTCGAACTCGGCTCTCCGATTAGGAGGCACAATGGAGTAATGTATATTTGTTTGGATTGGTCTTGCTTTTATGTCCATCGTCTTTTTCATGTTGAATTGAATATGGTCTATGTTAATTATGTTTTATGAATATGTCCTGAAGATGGTCTATTAGACCGAAACGTCCGACGTTGACATTATATTAACATTAAAACAGCATAACTGCATATTAGGAGTTTGTTTGTTTTTTCCGTATATTTTCTTATATATATATATATATATATATATATATATATATATATATACAGGGATGACAAAATAATTACAGGGATGAACAGTTGAACAAAAAATCCTCCTATATTTCAAAGACCTATTATTTAATGACTTTAACTAAAACTTCGTAATTGCAGGTTATATCTATTGTAAATACATTTATTTATCTGATTTACTGTCTTTGGCTTATTTATTTTTAGAATTTAGTAAAATTTAAGCTAAATGTGTGACCTCTCCGAGTTCGAAAAAGAGTAAATTGATGGAGCTTGCATGGCAGGAGCCTCGATCACTAAGGTTGCTGAACTGTTTGGTTTTTCAAGAGCTGCCATATCAAGAACACTGATTCAATTCGAGAAACAGAGCAAGACCCCGAGCAACCGTAGCAATTCGGGCCGGACTTGCAAACTTACTGACAGGGACTGACGTGCATTGAAACGCAATGTGGCAAAAAATCATCCGACAAATGCGGCTAAAGTGACTGCTGAGTTGAATATTCATCTGAATAGTTCAGATTCTACTTAAACTGTTCGCCGTGAGCTACATAAGGCTGCATATCATGGAAGAGCTGCTGTGAGGAAACTTCTTCTCTCCACTCGCAACATTCAAAAGAGGTTGAAGTGGTGCAGAGATCACAATGCCTGGTCTGCAGACCAATGGAAGCAAGTCCAGTTTTACTCTTTTCCCAACTTCAGGGCGAGTTTATGTGTGGAGGCAGCCCAAAGAAGCTTACAACCCTGACTGCCTTCTTCCAACAGTGAAGCTTGGAGGTGGATCAGTGATAGTTTGGACCGCCATATCATGGAAATGGCCCAGTCCAATAGTTGCCCTACATGGTAGAATGAACAGCAAAGATTACCTGAACATTTTGGGAGATCATGTTCATCCAATGGCCCAGACTTTATTCCCTGATGGTGACTGCATCTTCCAAGACGATAATGCTCCAATACATACCTCTCGAGTGGTTAAGAATTGGTATGAAGAGCATGAAAGTGAGCTAGAATACATGAAGTGGCCTCCCCAATCTCAAGATATCAATGTTATTCAACATTTGTGGTGCATTTTGGAGCAACAAGTTAGGAGCCGCTATCCTCCACCGTTGTGTCGTAAAGAGCTGGAGAAGGTTTTAATGGAAGAATGACTGAAAATTTCTCTGGATGAAGTCAGGAAGCTGTATTATTCCATTCACAGACATATTAAAGCTGTATGTGAGGCTAAAGGAGGACCAACTCGATATAAAATAAATTTTCTTTGAATTTAACAAGTGTTTCAATTATTTTATCCAACCAATATATATATATATATATATATATATATATATATATATATATATATATATATATATATATTCATACACGTTTCATTAAATAATATAGACAAGTGTTGTCTATTTACTTTATGTAAATTTTTCATAACGTCTGATAAGTTTAATAACATTATCACATTAATAACATTATCATATATATATATATATATATATATATATATATATATATATATATATATATAAAAAAGATTAGTTGGCAAAAGTATAACGGATTTATTTATTTATCAGTTTTATTTATGAATTTAATGATGACAAGACTGTTATACCAGCAGTTCACGCTATTTACCAATTATTTTCAACCCAAATTTGGGATTAAATGTTTCAATTCTCTCTCTCTCTCTCTCTCTCTCTCTCTCTCTCTCTCTCTCTCTCTCTCTCTTTCTCGCATTTTCACCGCGAATTTCTGGAGATTAGAGCCACATCACGTACGATTACCGAAGTTAAGCAACGTCGGACCTGGTCATTACCTAGATGAGTGACCCCATGAGAATATCAGGCGCTGTAAGCTTGGATGTATAGGTGGTTTAATTCCAGTTACATTTCACATTGGGTTCGTTATATTCACTTACGTGCAAATATATTTAGGTAAGGTGTGAATCCACCCGTTTTCTCACCAGGTAATGGTTAATTAGTAAGACATACATCATTACACAATTATTATCTCAAAAAAATTCTTACAACCTAAAGGTATGTTTTTTTGGGTTTTTTTAAGTCGCCTGCATAGGGTTGATAACCCGTAAAAAACGAATCAATTAATGAATTTCTGGAAACGAGATTTAACTATTTTTGTTAATTAGTAATTTGGTTCTGCTCAACTCGAAAATAAATTTTAAAAAAAAACATTATTTTCTTTCTTTTCTTTTTTAATTGCTATATTTCCAGAAAGTTCGTTTTGAATTAAGGACAATTGCGATGTTTGTTTTTTGTTTTTTTTTTGTTTCTTTTTTGTTTCTTTTGCTTGTTTCTTTGTTTTGCCTTGTTTTATTTTGTTTTTTCTCCTTGTTTTTTTTTTTTTTTTTTTTTTTCTTAGGTGAAAATTGACGAAACACAGTCACAATGCAATATTCCCCACCGCTTTAGAGACCTTTGTCGACAAGGTAAACCCATTTCGGTTGCGCTCACTAAGAGTCAACAATTGACAAGGACTGTTTGATCTCTTGGCTCTCTCGCCCTTTTCTCTCCCTTAGTGCTTTATCTATGCGTTCTTAAATATTCTTATTGTGAACTTTAAGAAGAGTTGTCAAGGGAAATTCATACCTGCGTGTAGCAATGCGTGTGAGATTATCTAATAAAAACAAAAATGGAGGGGATACTTTGAAAGGCGAGAGAATGGGAATGAAAGAGAAAAAAAGAACATTAAATCAATAGGACGTAAAAATGGAAATTAACAAAAGAAAGAATGAAAGAAAGAAAGAAAGAAAGAAAGAAAGAAAATTTGAAAATAGCAAAAAAAAGAATAAAAAAGAAAAAGATACAAAAAGAAAAAATAAGGAAAAAAACTAGGAGAAAAGAAAAGGAAAAGAGCATAAAAGAGTAAAAAAAGAAAAATTAAAAAGAAAGGGAAAAGAATAAAAAAGACAAGAAAAACTAAGCCAAAGTAAAAAAAAAAAAAGGAAAGAAAGAAAAAAGGAACAAAAATTAAAAAAGACGGGAAAAAAGAAAGAAAAATTAAAAAAGAAATCAAATGTAAAAAGGTAAAAGTAAAAAGCGAAGGAAAAAGGTTAAAAATAAAGGAAAAAGGAGTAAAAAGAGAAAAGAAAACTAAATAAAAAAGATAAATAGGGTAAAAAAGAAAACAGAATAAAAATTTTAAAAAAAGGAAAAAAGAAAGAAAGGTAAAAAGAAAGAAAAAGTAAAAAGAAAAGAAAAAAACAAAGCAAAAATGTTGAAAAAGAAAGAGAAAATAAAAAAGAAAGAAAAATAATAAAAATGAAAGGGTAAAGAATAAAAAGAGTAAAATGAAAAAATAATAAAAAAGTAAAAGATGTGAAAATAAATAAGAGGAAAAAAGAAAGGAACAATGAGTCAATAAGAAAAACAGTAAAAAGAAAAAAAACAATGGCTGTTATGTAAAGTTGTTAATAAGAGTAAACAACAAAGACGAAAATTAATGTATGTACGTTTGTATTAATCGATTAAGACTAAAGATTTCACCGCCAAAAATAAGATGATGAAAGCGTATAGAGGGTGTTCCAAAATTCGCATTGATAACCTTGTAAATTTTATATTTATTTACCAAATGGAATCACGTTTTTGTATGTGACAATATATAAGAAATTTTAAGAATATTAAGAATTGTTATTGGTCGAATTATTGAAGATGATGTCATGCAAATTTTCCCTGGTGGCCATTTCACAAGTGTATGTTTTCTGCCAATTGTTGCGCGACTTTTTGAACACCCTGTACATTGGTCTTGTTAAGTTGAAATCGGTGCCCGATAGAAAATTCAATGAACAGTAAATTGGTTTCACAATTGCAACAATCCTATCATAAGTGACTTGAGGACGTGCTCGTCGTGTAGTGGTTATCAGCGGGAAAAGTGGGAGCGATATTCCGTGCACAAATTCTGGTTGAAGCCGTTGCTTGATTGATTGACTGATTTGTTTGTTTAACGGCATATCAACTCCTTTATGGGTCATTTAATGCCGAAATTTAATTTTCATAGGAGCACTGAAGTAATAAAAATTATATATATTATTCTGCTTTCACAAGTGAATACATGGTAGATGATACTCAACTTTTGTGCATATACATGTTTGGGTAGACATGGACGCGGTGATATGTGCGTTTTATGTTGTAATTTTGTTGAAGTTATATTTTGGAATACAGTTTGATTTCTTTAAGAAATTGTAGGATTTTATATGGACTAATGTCATAAGAGAGTTCTTTCCTGTTTATTGTTTGGTTGGTCGGTTGGTTTTGTTTAGCAGCATGTCAATATCTCTATGGGTTATTTAATGCCGAAATCTAAATATTCTTTACGTAATTTCATGCTTTCAGCTACATATATTTTGTACATGATTTTATACCTTCACTTTGTTTAAGGGTTCCCTATTTGCCCATAGCTGAGACCCTAAAAGGTGTTACCATTCTGGGCCAGGCTGGAACTGAGAACAACAGCAATTACGAGGTGGTCCCACGCTCCATAAAAACTTTAATCTCCCGATCAGAAGCCTTACTGTCGGATGTAGTTTATCGTTATACCCAGGGTAAGAAGCCGTTGCGTCCACTTTCTTACAAATTCGCTTGAATATAAATTAATTTCTTCTACCTCGAACTACGGTTTAATAGCAGGACCAACTGGTATCTCTCTAGCCTTGATTGGCAACCAGTCTAAGAGAAAGTGAATTTAAAACCGGTGGAGCTAACAACTATAACCCGTGAAAACCTACTTCCAACAGAAATCATAGCAACAACGCCTCTTGTGGTAACCGTCTTGGGTATGACGATAAACTACATCCACGCCCTGGTTAGGACGATAAACTACGTCTAACAACAAGGCCTCTAATCAGGAGATTCTGAGGAGCGTGGAACCACCTTTTAATTGCTGGTGTTCCCAGGTCCGCCCTGACCCGGGATAGTAGCACCTGTTAGGGTCCCAGCTATGGGCAAATAGTTAACCCCGAAACTGTGGTAAAAACACTATGAGAGTGTAAAAATAGGTTTTAATACCAGAAAAACTCTGTAAAAAATTATTACCAGCAATACATTTTTGAAATAAAGTATTACCAGCTATACATTTTTGAGGAAAAATATTTTCAGTAATAGTATTTTGAAAAAAAATTATTACCAGCAATACATTTTTGAAAAAATATTACCAGCTATACATTTTTTAGGAAAAAAATATTACCAGCAATAGTATTTTGAAAAAAATTATTACCAGCAATACATTTTTGAAGGAAAAATATTACCAGAAATAGATTTTTGACAAAACAAAATAATACCGGCAATAAAAATTTTGTCGGTTTTAAATAATCCATTGAGGTTGATATGCCGTAAAACAAAGCAAACCAAACCTCTTGTGGTGAGGCTGTAGTAGTCGTAGTGAGCTGAAGCTGTGGCCATGTGCTCTATAGAGGAGTCTACAGTACATTCATGCATAACTAACATGAATGTATATTTGTGTGAAAATATACGATCATTTTGCTGTAATATAGTGGCATTATAATAAATGGTAATTTTCTTTACAGGTGTTCTGTTCCTCAGTTTCACCGAATCCCGATTTATTGGGCGGAAGATTTTTAATAAAAGTTTCCTAAGAAATCTAATATGTTACAGAAAAATGTTGCTTTGTTACTCGATTTTGTTGTTCGTCTGCCTCAAAATGATTTTAACCTGTTATTGTATGATAACTAATTGCAGCCATGCCTTTAAAATGGTGATATGGTTTGTTAAATCCTTAAAATTACTAGGTTTTCACATATGAATCTTTAAATATACATTTTTTTAAGTTAATATATTTACATACACTAATTGTGAGGTGACCAGTTTATTACTTAATATCAATACAGAACTAACCTCCACTTTATATACAGTCGAACCTTACATTAATACTATATTAAATAATGTCATAAAGACGATGCTATAATATGAAATAGATATGTTGTTAAATTCTTACAATTATTAGAACTAGAAAGGCCCGGGGAAAGCTTCCCGGTTTTCCAATTTTAATCTTGTGATGAACTTTAATTAAGTTAATGATTAAGTTATTGAGAGTTCTACGACAATAAAATATCCGTAAAAATTCACCTATCACATCGTTAAATATTTGGACATAACAATTTAAAATAAATGTTGCAATAACAATCATAAATATGAATGCTGGCCGTTATTTTAAGAAGAGGGTACAAATGAAAAGATTTGAAACTGACAACTTTTTTGATTTTCACTAAAACTTTTATCTTTCTTTCGTCCTTCTTTCTTTCATTCGTATGTCTTTTGTTGCTCTGTGCAATAAAAACGGAATAGTCTATTATTTATGAAGTATTGGTAGGCGACGTTAACACTTGTATCTTCCGTTCTTGCTATCTTTCTTTCATTTTCTCACTGAAACCAAGTAGTGTCTTTTCCCTCCTTGCCACGCAATCAAAACGGAATAGTCCATTATTTATGAGGTATGAGGTTACGGCCGTGCGAACTAGCGAAGGGAGGGACACGCACAATTATTATATGTGAACCTTGAAACATATTTCCCAATTATTATGTTAATAGATAATAATTCTAGAGAGATTAGTTTATGAATAAATAACATGAGAAAATAGATCTCTCATATGAAGTAGAAATTCTAGTTCGCCCATGTTGTCTCCATGCGTCGAATGTCTATTAGGTCTCAAGTTCAACCCAGATACCAAGTAAAACTAATACATACAATTAATTGCTAAAAATCCTGGAAAAATAGTCGCTTCATTCTGTCGCTCCAGAAAATACTTTAGTCTTTATCACATGCTTTATTTTTGGAAGAGTCAGATTAGATCTAAAATGGACTATTGCTGCTGCCATATATGAGCTGGCGCTGCTAAATCCTCACTTTCCAGTCATTCAAAATCGTTTATGCGGTCTTGTAGAGAAAAACACTCCCTAACCTGCAGCCTCTTACCCACAAATGCAACGTTGCAAAACCCGTCGCTACTCTATTGCTATTTCCGACAAATGTTCAGATGAGCACTCTATTCATAATTTCCCCCAGTTCAGACCTTTACAGCTAGGACATGCTATGCAACTTTCACGGAATCTAATTACACTTATTTTTTTCTTCTTCTTTTCACCAGGAACTGACACTTTGTGGGAAAATCTCTTGCGAAAATGCTTCTTTGAGCTTTACAATCTTAAACACTTCAATTCTAGGCTCAGTTGATATCTCTATCCTCTTTATACTTGTATTGTTCACATTTTATCTCCTCTTCCATTCATGTCAAGCACCTCAATCCCCATTGCTATTTCCACTAAAACACTCTACATTATTGTTAGAACATGTCATGCCACCTCCACGATGTCGAATCACACTTATTTACCCTGCGTTTCAAATTTATTAAGGAAATTCTACTAAGACAGCTTTTTCCTCAAAACTGCCATTTTGTGGAACATAATCCCGTTTATGTACTTCCATGAACACTAAAATCTTCACTTCTGCAAGTTAAAGGTCAACGAGTATGTATCCTTATTTTCCGTGTATATCTCCCACAGTATTCATCATTACCAAAAGTAACTCTCCACATTGAGCAGTTCTCGAAACTTGTATCGGGTGAATATTAGTAAAAAAAACGACTTTTGAAAGGATGGGAAGATAATGATATTAAGAAAGTTTCTTGGATAAGGTATAGAAGGAGAAGAGAAAGAACACCTACAAAGTAAAAAAAAGTGAGAGGCTGAAATAAAAAGGAGGAGAAAAAGGTAACGGTGACAATGAGAGAGAAAAATCGAGTGATGTTCAGGTGAAGGAATCAAAGAAAGAGAAAAATAAAAGGGGAAAAAAAGTGAAATAGATACGTGGGTGGGGGGTGGATGAAAGGTGGGAGGTGGCATTGTACATGTGGAAATTATCCAATCGAAAAGCGTTTTCTCCCAGTTCTGCCTCCAAGGCACGATGACGAGTCAATCAGGGGACTTAATCAGATCGTGATGGCGGTGAAAACGAAAACGCCTCAAATAAACTAAAAAAAGAAACGTATTTTGCTTTGATCTTTTTCGTCGGCAGAACGCCAGAGAGGGGAAGTGTTGTAGGTAAGAGAGGAAGAAAAATGATGGAGGGATTCGGGTCAGGGGTTGTGGGCTCAAGGTGTGCATGGTGAGTGCCGGTGGTTTGTAAAGAGAAAAATGGATGGTTAGTTAAGAAGGGAAATTCATGGGGTAATACATTCACACAACCAGAGTCAATCCGGGTGGTCTATTTACCATCTACAAACCACTCTCCTCAAATCATTCATAATACATATATGCAAATACTTACCAACGAGAAGGAAATGTATATATTGTTGCTCAGGGGACGTATGGGACGCATGAGAAGAAAAAAAACACGATGCTTTCTCATTTGAACAAAAAATATTAAAGGAATAAATATTGGCTTTAGGAATGGCGGTATAGGCAAAGCGATTTTTCAAGGATTGTGCTCCAAGAAATACGCGTCTAGTATGAATTAAAAGCTCGAGGAAGTTAGGTCGCTAAATGATTTCCTGAAAGAAAAATTGATAGGAAATTATATTTTTTATTTCCTGGTAGAATGACTTCGAGAGATGTTTGAAATTTCCGGCGAGACATGGAAAATATGACAAACAGATTTTGATACTACGTTTTCATCTGTGCAAGTCTGGATGAATAAGTAAGCAGCTATTAACTCAATTTTGAAAATAAATATTCTCTCGATAAAATTTATCTACATGATTAATAAGCCTCACTGTATTAAGTGCATTGAAAAGATTATAGTAAAAATGTATATTTCCTGCGTTTTTTTTTTTTCATCAGTAGATTACGGACTTATTGATTTACCCATATATTATGACGGATTATTCTCGTTTTCTGAGCAAACCGGTCTGCTAGCGAGGATAGTCAATCCCTGTTGCAGACACCTGCTCAGGCACATTTTGTGTTTGTTCAACAAAGAACCCACTTGGAATTTATACTGAAACTGTGCTAAGTGATTCTAGTTACAGTTTCTGGGAGATAGGCCAGTACACTCAAAACCTCAGACGATGACTTGTGACTTCGTGTTAGCAAAAACCATCGATGGCTTGCGAACAGTTCCTTCTACTCTTTGTTAGGTAAACCCGTGGTATGGTTTTCAGGCACTTTCTAAAGATGGCGCTCCTTGATCGCTTCCCTAGACTTATAATATCAAGAAGTCTCTTTCTTGACAAAACGGCCACGGTGAAATAAAATACAAAACGAGGCCCTGTACAAAACAATTTAGTTTGCCACATTTGTAATAAGCATTGCAAGTTACTTTCTGGCTTCAAGAGCCATTGTTGTTCTCACGAGAACCAAAAGCATTGATCATACTTGTCAGTGATGGTCATACTCGTTAAACAAGTCAACAATCATCATATATATATGTATGTACAATTTTGTCTTTTGTTAGTGGGAGGTGATGTTTTTAAATTTTTTTCTTTGTAAAATTCACAACGTTTCGGCCGTTGTGCGCTCCGGCCTTCTTCAGGTGATTGGAAATTCGAACCGAACTCTTTATTTCGTCGAACGGAGTAGATTGTTCTAATTCCACGTGACATAGCCTCTTCCGGATATCTCAGTTCCAGTTATTTCTTTTCACGGTGGGAACGTCGGGAATATAACAACAAAGATGAGGACAACAGCCCGCACAATGTAAATAGTGTAAATACTTACAATAAACATCTCAGAAATATAAACAGGTCTTTGTAAAAGTTTAAGCATTTGGTAACCGGTATATTTGTATATAGTTTAGTTTTGTATAGGGCATATCAACTCCTTATGGGTCATTTAATACCGAAATTTAATTTCCTTGGGAGTTTTGGTAGTTGTTTTTTATTTTTGCTTTTTTTACTGGAATTTGAATATTTTTTACTGTTAAAATGTATTGTTGCAATCTTTTCCTATAAGAATGTACATTTATACTTTCATAGTGTTTGACCCCAGTTTGGGTGTTCGCTATTTGCACATAGCTGGAACCCTAACAAGTGCCACCACCCCGAGTCACGAGACGTCATCAGACGCCTTAAAGCCGGATCATTGTTTATAGTGATTTGATATCTAAGGCAGCCTTGTCACCAAATGTCTAAGACTTTTACAAAGACATTTAAGAAAAAAATCAACAAAAAAAAACAACTTCCCACTACTAACGGACAAAATTATAATAACGTACCGTCTTAACCAGTGTTAATATATATATATATATATATATATATATATATATTGACATAATAGGAAAGAACAATGAGATTTATAATGAAGAGTTCTTAGCATTTATTTTTATTTTAAAAAAAACAGTGCTCGATACAACGATATTGCATAGTATATATATATATATATATATATATATATATATATATATATATATATATATATATATATATATATATATATATATTATTTTGTATGTGCAGTACTTTGTGGAAAGTGCTCAATATCTGTGATAGAGTTAACATATTCAGATGTATGGATATGAGGTCCTATTGCTTCTATTACCTTGTTTGAGGTGAAATCATTAAATATATACATTTATTTAATTATTTCAACCCATATATATATATATATATATATATATATATATATATATATATATATAATCATTTCACCTCAAGCAAGGTAATAAAGCCACTAGGACGCAGTGTGTTACTGAGTGTTAGAGAATATGAGAAAACTACTTTTAAGTATAAAGGTCAATAAAAGAACAAGAATTAAGACGACAGAAGATAACGCATGACATTGCAACTTAAATTGTTGAAGATCAAAGTTGACTGGAAAGCAAGAAGCCGGAAGAGAGTTCCACAAGCGAGAAGGGTGATAGAAGAAAATATTAACATAGAACTTACGGTTACATATAGTCATTTCAACTTTAAAATGAGACCTTGACGCGGATCTAGTACTGCGCTTAAATTCATGTTATCGTAGAGTAAAGTTCATCAGAACAATTACCATGATAGTATTTATTTTAAAAAAAAAGGCACAGGGAAGCTAGATTACGGCGGTGAAGGCGAGATGTCAGGTCAGGTCTGATAACATTGCAGTCTCTTCTTTGGATTTTATCAAGAACCTCTAAATATATAACAAGAGCACCAAACCAGATGTACCGGCAATATTCAAAGCAAGGACGAATGGCAGACTTATAAATCTGTAAGATAGATTCTGGTGAGAAAAACACAATATACATATATGTTTGTGCGAGTGTAAAGTGTGTGTGTGTGTGTGTGTGTGTGTGTGTGTGTGTGTGTGTGTGTGTGTGTGTGTGTGTGTGTGTGTGTGCTGAAAAGTGTCCTCACGACCAAGAAGTCCTGCAACCAAAATATTTCATGTTTGGTTAATTGGTAAAGTTTAAAGAAGTGGATCATACTAAAAACTTTTCGCCAAGCTTCTCATATGTATGTGTATGTGTTTAATTATGTGTATGAGTGCATGTATATGTGTATGTATATATGTATGTATCTATGTATGCATGTATGTATATATGTATGTATCTATGTATGCATGTATGTATGTATATAATAATAAAAACGCCACCTCACAAGAATATCAACTATGACCACGGCCCCAACATGATCGCCGTGTTTGAAGAATAAAAAATATCCCATCATTATAGATACACATATATAAAAATCTACACATTCAGTTAAAAATTTAAAAAATAAAAACTTCCTAATAATGCTAGTAGAATAACCGAAAACTCTCGGATATATGAAACATTTGAACACTTTATATGCGAGGAGAAAATTATACGAACGCAAGAAATACTGAATAAAAGGCTCTACCGCAGTGACTTGTCAGTCGTCTTTAACGAAACATTTATAAAAGAGGGGTTGCTGCCCAAATACTCAATATATGTACACACACAATATATATATATATATATGTGTGTGTGTGTGTGTGCGCGTATGCGTGTGTCTGTGCGTATGATCAAATATATCTGTAGAAAGACAATATGAATGAAGACAAAAGGAAAACTATTCTTTACCATCAGAGGACGAAACGCGTTAGTAAAGAAGAATAGTTTCCCCTTTGACTTTATTATACTATATATATATATATATATATATATATAAAGAAAGAAAGAAAGAAAGAAAGAAAGGAAGAACAGTGTTTAAGTTTAATTTTTTTTTTTAAGTATTAGGTCTCTGTGTTTATTTTTTTATTGCTTTTTTCCAATTTTCGAATAAGGTGTTGAGTATTGTGTTTGAAATTGTGGATAAACTGTCCAAAGTACATATTTTGTTATTGTTTTGCTCAAGTGCTTTCGACATTCAGTCTCTGTCATTTCAAGAACCAATGTGGTGGTAGGCAGAATTCCTTTGTTCACATCCTGCTGTTCTTGGATTCATTCCCAATAACCATTACACATGACATCACCATCTACTAGTTCAAACCTCCGGCTTTCCAAAGAAAAACAAGATGTAGACAAAGGAAGTCTAACTACTACACAGACACCATATTGGTTCTTGAAAATGACTGAGATGGCTGAAAGTACTTCATCTAAACAAGAACATAATATGAACTTTGGACAGTTTATCCACAATATCAAGCACAATATTCAACACCTTATTCAAAAATTGGAACATTATAATAAAAATTTGATTAAAAAGAACTACCACGGTCTGGCTATTTAATTTTTTATAATATTTTTTCCAATTTTCGAATAAGGTGCTGAGTATTGTGTATGAATTTGTGGATAAACAGTTCAAAGTTTGTATTGAATTATTGTTTCGTTCAAGTACCATCTCAGTCATTTTGAAGAACTAATTTTGTGCTTGGGCATTCGGTTCTAGACGTTATGGTTAAAATTCGTGGAATTAAGGAATGTAATTCGTCTGAGCACTTTCCATAGAAGTAGCGATAGGGCGATT